ATTTTAAAGTTATTTCCACCCCTGCTCTTACAGGTCAAATATGAGTATAAACTTATTGTCTTACCATCAGCGCCATGAGGGTTGTAGGTGAAAGTGACGGAGGGAGTAGCTGGACATATGTCATCAGACGGGCCTGTAGGCTGATGTGTGAACACTACCACCAAGGTTATCACAGTTATCAAAATCACTCCCAAACCCAGGACTAAACTACATTTCTTGTAAGGACTGTCAGTGAGAAGCTGCCATATTGCCACAAGGCGGTTCCTACTGGTGTAATACATCTGTATCTTTATCCATGGTAGTATGTACTGATCGATGTTTGTAGTGTTATAACGCTAATAGCGATATTATTGTTTAACGGTATGCAAAAACAATTAAGAGCAAGGGAGTTACCTCCCTGGAGAATGTAAAAAACACTGGAATAAAAGCACGTGAATTCCAATGCACGTTTTGATTTATTGAAATCAAGTGCCCTGATAACCCATCGGTCATCAAAAACAGTACTTTGGCGACGAGGATAAGGGAGATCATAATTATCCATCGATATTATGGCAGATCAAGCTCCTCAACCTGACGTACAGCCGCGAGCAGTGGTAAACCTACCGCACTATCCCCCCTTCGATTGCAAGTCGGATGGAAAGCTCGTTCGTTGGAACAAGTGGAGATCTCGCCTTGTGAATAATGTGTTCGTTATAACATCACTGATGATCGACAGAAGAACTCTTGCAAGTTGAAAGAAGAGCTTAAGAAAGCTACAACCCTGAGTTACTTCAAATCCAAGAGCTCAGACAGAACTGTATGTGGATGCCAGTCCAGTTGGGTTGTGTGCAGTTCTCTGTCAATCAGAAGAGCAAGGAAACTGAGTAGTTCAGTTTGCCAGTAGATCTCTACACCGACTGAACAACGGTATTCTCAAACTGAACGCGAAGCTTGTTTTCACATGGTCATGTGAACATTTTCACATTTATGTGTTTCGTTCTTCCTTCACAATATACACTGATCATAAACCATTGACAAGCCTGTTTGGAAACCCAAAAGCAAATCTGCCACCAAGAATTGAACGTTGGATGATGAGAATCCAGCAATATGACTTCAATGTTGTCTATCGACAAGGTGCAGACAATCCAGCAGATTATCTGGTAGACACCCCTCTCAGATGTTCCAAAAGAGTGAACAGGAAGCCGCTGGCTGAAGAATACATTCAGTATGTGATACATCTAAAACAGTACCCAAGTCAACGACTATAGATCATGTTGTGAATGCCACTGACAATGATCCTACACTACAAGCAGTCATCCAGTCAGTGAAAACTGGAAACTGGAAATCGATGCATCAAATGATGTTAATCTCAGTGTCACGACACTTTGAAGAAGTGTCAAAATGAACTAACACTTGTGGTGAATGATAGTGTTCTGCTAAAAGAGACAAAGATTGTCTTACCTGAAGGCCTATACAAGCAAGCTGTGGACCTAGCCCACACTGGGCACCAAGGAATAGTTAGACACTATCGCTACTGCGAGAAAAGGTGTGGTTCCCAAACATGTATCACATGGTTGAAAGCACTGTTAAAAACTGTCTAACGTGTCAAATCGCAACTGAAACGCCATCAAGAGAATCGTTACAAATGTCAAAGCTACCTGATGGACCATGGCATGAACTTAGTGCGGATTTTGGGCAAATCGAAACTGGAGACTATTTGTTGGTTATCCAAGACGAATATTCAAGATACGTGGTTGTGGAAATCATGTCAAGTATCTCTGCTAGGAGTGTGATTACCATATGGAATACCATATGTGCTCAAGACTGACAATGGCCCTCCATTTAATAGCCATGATTTCAAAGTCTATGCAGAGAACACTGGATTCAAACATCGGAAAATAACACCCTTGTGGCCTCGTGCAAATGCAGAAACGGAACGTTTCATGCGTACCATAAAGAAAACCATTAAAGGTTGTTTGGTACAAGGGCATTCCAATTGGAAACAGGAGATGTACAAGTTCTCGTTATCTTACAGAACTACACCACACTCATCCACTGGTGTTCCTCCTGCAACTTGCGTTGTTTCAAGCGTAACCTCAGAAACCGATTACCGAGTGTAGACAGTCAGGTTAGTGAGACTGATCATACATGCGAGATGAGAGAAAAGATGCCCAAGCAAAGCAAAGATGAAATCATATGCAGACAGAAAAGAGTATGTAAAACCATCAGATTATCAGAAAGGAGATGCAGTGCTGCTGAAAGACACATCAATTCATAAGTCTAAAGCGTTTATGAACTCCATTCTTACACTGTAACCTCAACCAAGGGTTCCATGATAAGTGCTAAATGTGGGGACAGACAAGTCACAAAGAAACAGCAGTTTCTTCAAACCTGCTCCTTGCCAACCCACAGAATCTCAAATTCAGGAGACTAAGGACACACTTGACATTGACATGCCAAGTGATGAGACATCAAATGACACTGTTCCTGAAGAACCGGTTCCAGAAATGGATTTGAATGAACAAATCCAAGAACAAAGATATCCAACCCGAGAAAGGAGACTTCCGTCCAGATTTAATGACTTTGTTGTATAAGGAAAAACAGACACAAAAAATGCAAAGAGGATTTTTGCATAGTAATGTGTTCAGACTAATTCTTATATAGTGGTTTTCTTTGAGAGACTTTAAAGAACCACTAAACTTTGTTTTTTGTTACTCTTTTAACCATTACATATGAAAGATTTGTGGTTAGTCTTATGCGGAACACCAAATTTATTCTTTAAAAACTTGTGGTTAATTAATACCGAGCGATTAAAAGTGGCCAAAAAGTCGCCTGCTTCCCTCTCGCCCGCCATCGAAACCACAGACAGGTTACGTAACTCTGTCGCCAGAGCACTGCAGTGACGTCATATGAGGAACGATTTTCAGTTAGTTGTATAGAAAGTGTGTAGCACGCTCATCATTTTGATGATTTCTCGACATGAACGCGGCGACATGCCTAATCGTTGCTTTGTCGTCAATTGCTCCTAGGGGTCGGGGTGATGGTGTCACCATGCACAGATTTCCACAGGGCCCGCAGTTAGGTGCTAAATGGGTTATGTTTGTGAGTGCTTTTAAGCAGTTGTGGAAGCCTGAAAGCGATATCTTACTTGTGTTCAGATCGCTTCAAGGAAGTTAAAGAATCAAACTACTTACTAGTTATAGTAAAATATGTATATGATTGATGACCATAAAGATTTTCCATAACACAACTTGTAACATAACGATTTCTTCCTCGGAATTGTAAGTAATAATATTGTAAGTAGTATTATATTGACACCCCCCTCGCTGCCAGGAGAGAAATTGTTATGTTATACGCTATGTCATGCAAAATCCTATTGGCCATCAATAAAATACATATTTTACTACGAGTAGAAAGTAGTTTTGATTTTGTAACTCGGTGAAAACGAACCTAAATAGCATTTTTTTTTTATCCACAGACTGGCGGATGTTTCCGACAGGGCGCCGCCATTTTTGAAAATCGTAAATTCTGTTAGCATTAATGAGATTATAGTTTGTTTTCATCAAGTTAGAAAATCAAAACTACTTTCTACTCATCGTCAAATATGTATTGGAATCATAACCAAAAGGATTTTGCATGACACAACTTATAACATAACGATTTCTTCCATGGAAGCGAGGTGGGGTCGAAGTCACAATACTGCACGATAAATTTCTTGCTACATTCACATGGTTAATGTCCACTCACCAGTATGTAGATACTAGTCAATGTCGTCTTTATATTTGGTCTTATAATCCTAATTAGTTTATTATCATACTTTTATGCATTTTGAAACTAAATAAAAAGCAGGCGATCTGCTGATACTTATAGTGAATTTATAACAGAACTGTAATATCTAGACATTTTATAGTTTGCCAATGTGAATCATAATTAGCACACACACCTAGTGTATGTTGTCTGTCTCATTACACTTCACGGCTTAAAACAATGATTCTGTTGAATGCTACGACAAAATGAATAAAAACAAAATGCAAATATTAAAATTAAAACAGATTAAAGTTATAGGAACAATATCAGGCTATTACCTTGTTTGAGAAATGTATCCATCAATATCCACAAAACTGTTCCAAATGATGTGTCTTTTAACAGTTTAATATACGAAAAAAGTGATAAATCTTTTCAGGTATTGGTGTATAGTCTCATTGGTCACCCAAGATAGCACACCAGGCAACTAATTGCATAATGTCCAGCCTTTCATTAAAAAAAAACAGTAATTTAGTTAGCCAATAATGGGCAATCAATCAATGTATTGCCGGTTAATCCTTTGAAAGAAGGGCGTTGTTTTTACGCTTGACACACCGACGGCAGAGTGTATTCGAGTATAGATTAGTAAATCTACATACATAAACACTACCTTTGACAAATCCGCTGTGTAAGATAAAAGTAATTAATCAATCAGCGTGTTATCGGTTAATCCTTTGATCGATGTTTATAATGTTGAATATTTACTCCAGACACAAGAAATGCCAAATGGGAACCTTTGTCGGGTAATCTTAGTGTGTTACCACTAATTATACCTGTTATAAATTCATTAACTGACCAGCAAGTGAATGATGACAAATAGCGATGTAGGTTTATACCACCTAACACGAGGTTACAACAAGGGAGTATTAATTGCTGTATTGCATGTGAAAACTTATGGGCCGACACTGTTTTGAGAATACAAACAGATTTTTACATGACATGCTTTAAATCAATATTTTTGGGGGTCTGTAGTAAATTTAGTATTGTTTAACACATAGACTCTAAAGTTAATTTGAGAAATCATTTCATAATTTATGTCAAGATAACATTTTTATGTTTATTTTATTTTAAAGCTAATCTTTCATCCAAGGAGAAGAGGGATGTAGTGTTATAACGCTATTAGCGATATTATTGTTTAACGGTATGCAAAAACAATTAAGAGCAAGGGAGTTACCTCCCTGGAGAATGTAAAAAACACTGGAATAAAAGCACGTGAATTCCAATGCACGTTTTGATTTATTGAAATCAAGTGCCCTGATAACCCATCGGTCATCAAAAACAGTACAATGTTCTCCACCGTCTAGTAATCAAGTTTAAGACACACAACACACAAGAAGTATGATCACAGCCAGGAACGCATTCTTGTACAATCATCTCAGTTCCTGAATAACTTGTCACAACATCAACAAACCAACTGATGGTATTCCCTGATAGACAAAGACAGTTAGACCTAGCAGTGAACTAGGGTTGTTTAGTTCATATTGTTGCATGGTGCTCCTTGATCATTCTTGACAGGTGGGTATCTGCACTTGTCCTTGTAAATCTCGACCTCGAATGGATGTGACTCTTCTGATCTCTCTTCTGTGAGTGAGGGAAGTTTCTCACCCTGGGAGATTCATCAGCAACTACAGCGAGTAACTTCCGTGTCAAGCACCAGCTCATCTGGACAGGTAGGTACAGAATTAGTTTTCTTTGATATTTAGGAGTGAGTGAGTGAGATGGGTTCAATGCCACTTGGAAAAGTATTTCATTTAGTCTGAAGTGATGCACGTTTTAGATGGTCATGACTTTAATGAAAACCCACAAGCACAGAAATATAATCAGGATAAAATGGGATTTCAATACAAGATTCCAACCCATGATAATAGTTTTCTGGTTTGTAAAAGGGAGAAAACTTTTCACAGTAGATTGTGGCACCTCAGACAACTCTCAGACACATATTAAGATACAAAAAAGACACAGACATAAATGCTCCTAATTTAGAAAAATAAACGTAATATTCACAAAATACCCATGTAAATATCAACTGTAACATCCCGAAGATTTTAACCCATTCTTGATCACAGTACTATATTATCAAGACCACGTGGTAGTCCTATCTCTCAGGTATATCTAGGTTATCTGTGACCACACTTGACCATAGTCACACTATCTACACACTTCCCAATTATGAATTAGATATACTCTTCAACTCAAGCACTATAAGCAGATATCATATTCTCTGTATTAAATGCTCTGCTACCACAAGTGTACCATGACAGATTTTTAGACCGAACTGTCAGAAATCTTTACAAGTACCCCTACAAAGGCCATATTAACATGACAGCATATATATACTTGTGTACAATTTACAAAAAAAACCTGTTCAGCTGCTCAGGGTGTATCTGCCTCCTTTTAACTAATGACAAAAGGGTTAATTTCACCAGTGCCTATTCCTAAAATACCCCACCACAAATCCCTGTATTTTCTTTGTGTCATGTGTGTCATTATGGTGAATACTGTATGATTTTATTTTCATATGTGTATGCATTATTTTACATATACTCAACTCTGATATAGGGGCGGTGGGGTATCCTTGTGGTTAAAGCATTGGCTCGTCACGCCGAAGACCCGGGTTCGAATCCCCACAAGGGTACAATGTGTGAAGCCCATTTCTGGTGTTCCCCACCGTGATGTTGCTGGAATATTGCTAAAAGCGGCGTAAAACCAAACTCAGTCAGTCAGTCAACTCTCATATATCGAAACATAGCTCTGACTCTGCAGACCCTGAGATACAGTGGCTTGTCCTTATTAAGGGCGGTGGGGTAGCCTAGTGTTTAAAGCGCTCACTTGTCACATCGAAGGCCTGTGTTCGATTCCCCATATGGGTACTATGTGAAGCCCATATCTGGTCTCCCCTGCCATGATATCTTTGGAATATTGCTAAAAGCAGCGTAAAACCCAACTCACCCAATCAATCATAAGGGACCCCATTTCTGGGGAGAACTCAGGTTCTTGCTGTGTCTCTGGCTAGTACAATCTGACATCTGTAAACGTGTAATAACAAAAAGATGTTGATGAATGGTAGCAGCTATATCCCACACAACATTTGCTAAAGATTACATATTTGATGAAGATGACCATGGTCAGCAAATGTATTAAAGTCACAAGTGGTTTATTTTGCAGCTGATACTCTGCTGAACTAATTTATTCCACACAAGATTCCATACACCTCAAAGACGTCATAATATGTTTGTGTGATCTGACAACCTTCATGTTTTACTCTAACTGCTGTTGGTATTCTTTAACACTTATTTCTATTCATTCTTATTTCGTATATTTTCCCAGAGCATATTTCGTAAACACCACCCCTTTCCGAAATGACAAGCCCAAGTCCTTGTGCCCGATATGTCCCGTTTGTGAATCAAATAATTTGCCGAAATGGAATCTTTTGTCGCCATGTTGGACTAACACCCTTGAGGTACATCCTTGCATCTTTCTAACCGTATACATGCATTTGTGTGACAACACATAGCTTGAACATTGCACCCAATACTTACTGACAACAACGTAGATTTCTGAGGCAACTAAACATAGCAACCTGGAAATGAGAGTTACCTCCCTTAGATCGAGAAAGCCTATGGCGCAAGTTGAATAGTAAGATCCAGCCTCAAATCCGCATTGAAGTACTGTAGGACAAAAACCTGTTTTTAGGCTTTTACTCTGTATCACTCAAATTTACACAATTGCAAATATCATATGTCGAAATAACCCACATCGACCTAACTTGGTGTTCAGTGAGATGCGTAATAGGATATCCAGAAAAGCATGTTTACTTGTAAAATCGGGCAAAACCTAAGGGTCCTTCACACTTATTTCGAATTGACAGGAATCAAGGAGAATCAGCCAGAAAATATTTTTTACCAAAATTCGACGAGCATTTAGGAGAGAATGTCAAAATAAACAATTTTTTCAAGCTTTGTAAGAATGCTGTTGGAGTACTTAGAACGCACTTCGAACCCGCTTCCAAATGTACTAGATCACGAATGCAGCTCGAATGAATCGGAATACAGTAGGAATAATTAGAATGCCGTTAGGATACACTAAGAATACTTAAAATGCATTTCGACTGCCGTACGAGGCCGGTTCGATTGCTGCGTGAATAGCACTCGAATTCCAGTTGGAACGTACCTCGAATGCTGCACGCATTTACATAGAATGCATTCAGAACTCTCTTGGAATGACCCCCAAATATGGATCGAATATTAAGGAATTAAAATAGAATGGAGCTCGAATATTTCAAATGTCCTTCAAATGCACTTAGAATGTAACACGAATGTCCGGTATGCATGAAGAATGCTGCCGGAATGTTCCACGATGGGGTATAAAAACCTGTTGAATCTGGAATATTCATCAGTCAATGCCCAACTCACATAGAGTATGGACCACCTGGATCATGTTGCGTTGCTGCAGATTGCTGTCCTCCAGCAAGCCCAGACTGAAAGAGATGTGGAGAAGACCAAGAGAAGAAACAGGAGAAGACCCAGGAGAAAACCCAGGGGATTCCAGACCAGACCATGGCTGACAGAGGAAAGGAGGAGGCTGTATGGACATTACGAAAGACTGATGGAGGAGCTCAGAGTTGAGGACACGCAGTCATTCTTCAACTACCAAAGGATGGAGTCTGCCATGTTTGATGGGTTGGTGCAGAAAGTAACATTCGGGCATGTTACAAGAATTGACACGAATAGTTGGAGTGCATTCGGAATGGAGTAAGAAGTTTTAGAATGCAGTTCGAATTTCCAGGAATCTCCAGAAAGTTTCATTCCGACGGCATTCCGGCTCATTCCGCCTCAAGTGTAAAGGGGTATTAGAAAAAATACGAACAGCTGCTGAAAACAATAGATCAGACTATAGATGGCAATTAGGTCGCTCAGCCAGGTATGACGATGAACCGTTGACTCACATGGCATGAAATGCACGAGCTGCCCGCAGGCACAAGGGGTCATTTCAAAGATGTGTATTGAATATGTCTCATCTATTGATTATCTTATCATAGCTAATATCTCAGTTCCCCATCCCGACCCCAACCACCGTCTGCGACACCCGTCCTGGTTTTGCTTTTGAGACGACCCCTCCTTCCTGTTTCTTTTTATAGTGATGGTGAGACGCCATGGTAGCTACATCCTTAATAGTTTCAGTATTAAAGTTATTATTTTTTACGTCTGCTATCGTTTATAATAAAGCTAAGTCTAATTTCAAAATGATCATTTAAAAAGTGTCCTTTGTAATACAATATCATCGCAAACTAATTTGCATGAAGCCATGGTCTGTTCTAAATAAGTCGCTTTGGACTTCTCATTTCTGCCCTAATCTCTCCTCTGTAAAGACCCTGTAAAGACCCCCCACACTGCGACTGTAGTTAGGCCGAACTTAGTTTAACAGATATTTCACACTTTCACATATTAACTACCTAAATTGTAGATATAAATGTGAAAAAAACAGTTTTTTTCTATTTCCGACGGTACTTTAGTGTGATACTTTGTCGGTGTGTTTTTGTTCGTCTTTGCTAGTTTGTAATTAGAAGAAACTTTACCAACCTACGTGGTCGAGCCTATCAGACTGTATTAAAAAAAAGATGTAATAAAATATATATATATAATTTATCATAGAAACCAGAGACCATATACCGATCGGTATATGGCCTCTGTAGAAACTGAACAAAACATGTCAAATATGTATTACACTGTCAGACACTTATGTGTATGTATGCATTCTGCCTCCTGACAGATCCGTTGTTGTAAAACCGGAAAAGTTTGAATAGCTCTTTTATTAAGTCATCATCTGATCAAACCACGAACACAGGATACAAGACAATCAGTCCGATGTATTGTCTATGATATTCTGACACATTCTTTCAAAGACTGTATACTATTCCTGTGTTACCTGTACACATTTTTAGTAGCCCCCAAAGGCTGTATTCGGCATGGCAAGGATATACTAGTCAACTCATGTGACTCACTGACAATGGCAATGTGACTCACTGATGGTGGCAGTGTGACTCACTGATGGTGGCAATATAACTCACTGATGGTGGCAATGTGACTCACTGATGGTGGCAATATGACTCACTGATGGTGGCAATGTAACTCACTGATGGTGGCAATGTAACTCACTGATGGTGGCAATGTAACTCACTGATGGGACTCACTGATGGTGGCAATATAACTGACTGATGGTAGCAATGTGACTCACTGATGGTGGCAATGTGACTTACTGATGGTGGCACTGTGACTCACAGGTGATGGCATTTTGACTCACTGATTGTGGCAATGGGACTCACCCTTTCAAATCTATTATAATGCCATTGCACTTATCAGTGACATTTGAGGCAATTCATCTAGATTCCCACTCTCGCCGCTCACTCAGTCACTTGTTAAAGTGGCACTGAACCAGGATATGCAACAACCAAACCCCCAATCCTCTACCCCCCATCCTCGACCACCTCGTTAAAACTATGTTTGTGCAATATTGTGTTTTATTATGTGATATTCATATAATCTTATTGTGCTTGATAAACTCCAATGATATTGGCTAAAGTGAAGACGACATACAGTACCACAGAGGCCATATCACAGGTCTATTATATGACCTCTGCTTACAGTTACAATATGTCTAGACAGTGACGCTCACCATGCCTGCAGCAGTCTACACTACAGTATATTTAATTATTTCAATTATAATGCTGCAGTTCTATCGAACAAACTCCCAAATGAACTCAAAGAACTCGAAACACTCTCTTCAAGAGCCAGCTGAAAACATATCTCTCACGACAGCCATACCTGGACAAAAATTACTGCCTTGAGTTTAAATTGACATTGTAGTATAATTGTAGCGCTATGGGCATACACAAAGTGTAAGGTGTTGACGCCATACAAATTGACTCATTATTATTATTACTTATGGAACCAGTCCTGTCCCTATTGGGCTGGGGATTATCTCGGTCTGGGGATTTTTAATATGAGGACAGTACCTGCCAGCAAGATGATATGACGCCCATACATGTCAGCCCTGTGTATATAGGCGGGTCGTCCTATTGGAATACTACACTCAAGATCTCTGGTGTCATTCACTCCTACATCTTAACATAGGCTCAATACAATCGTAACACCATGGTCGCTTTGTACCACATAGCAGATCGTATGTGTCACCAGACAAATCTAACATCCATATATTACTGGAATAGTTAATATCAACAAATTGACCATCTGCACATTTAACTTTAAGTAAGTGCTTGAGTGAGTGCTTGAGTTATTGAGTGGGTGGGTGGGTGGGTGAGTGAGTGAGTATGTGAGTGAGTGAGTGGGTGAGTGAGTGAGTATGTGAGTGAGTGAGTAGGTTTTAAACCACTTTTAGCAATATTCCAGCACTAAGCCAGGGTACACCAGGAATGAGATTACACATTGTTACTAAGTTCAGAATCGAACCAGGGCTTACCCATGAAGATCAGGGTTAGAAATGATCTTCAGTAACCCATGCTTGTCGCTAGACGCGACTAATGGAATCGGGTGGTCAGGCTTGCTGAGTTTGATTGTCAGACGTCATCGTATCCCAGTCGATGGACGCGGAAGATCAGTCACGGGACAGTGTCTTCCAGACTAGTAAACTCTGTCAAAAAAGAAACGCAACCCCTGTCCTCAGATATGAAAAATTCGTTTGAATGAAGTTATTGCTTCCAAACTAAATTTTATTCGAATGTATTGAAATGATACACGTAATTAATGAAGATTACCATCCAAACAACTGCATTTGTACGCATAAGTGTATTTTATTGCTTATTCCGTCACAACGCATGAAATGACCCTCATGGTGACTTCGCACAAAAAAACCACATGCAAATCATGAAAATGGCAGTTAATGTAGGGGTGTATAAAAGCCCATGTGCTTCCGTATTATATTCATTCATTTGTCGCCGAAAAGCTGTGTTAAAAATGCCACGATTGAGTGCTGCCGACCAAAATATTGCCATTGGTCGTGTTCAAGCCGGAGAAAGTTTTGGAACTGTTGCACGGCACCTAAATGTTCACAAAACAACGATATCCCGACTTTGGAGCCGCTACAACAACTTCAATTTGACCAACGATCGCCCGAGAAGTGGAAGGCCAAGAATCACGACCCCCCTTCAAGATCGGTACATCCGGGTCCATCACCTGCGTAATCGGCATGCCCTACCAACCGTGACTGCCACACAAATACCAGGTTTGAGGAGAGTGTCAGCTCAAACGATTAGGAACCGTCTGAAAGAAGCGGGTTTACGTGCCTGTAGACCAGTTGTTGGACCTGTACTACGCCCCCTACATCTCCGCCGACGACTCAGGTGGTGCAACAACGTAAGGATATGGACTTAACAAAACTGGAGGCGCATCTGGTTTTCTGATGAATCCCGTTTTCTTTTGCAACATCACGACGGAAGAAAACGTGTGTATAGGAGACGTCATAAACGTTTTGCGCCCATCTGCGTCCGACAGGGGGACAGATTTGGCGGAGAAAGCGTCATGGTTTGGGGAACCATCTCATACAACCAGAAATCAGACTTGGTGATCGTTCCAGGGAACCTGACAGCCCAACGTTACATCAACCACGTGTTACAGCTTCACCTTCTCCCGATTATTGACCAACAGACACAGATTTTTCAACGGGACAACGCCCGGCCTCATACTGCACGTGCAACAATGAACTTTCTGCAGAATTCCAACGTCAATGTCTTGCCATGACCCTCTAAATCACCAGACCTCAACCCTATTGAACACCTGTGGGATACTCTGGATCGACGCGTACGTCAACGTCAGCCGCCGCCACAGACGCTGCAACAGCTCGCCGTTGCACTGCAGGAGGAGTGGAGAGCCATTCCCAGGAAAGAATCCGGCGTCTTATCCGTTCTTGTCCAAGGAGATGCCGTGCAGTGATTGCAGCGCGTGGTGCTCATACGAGATACTGAGAAAGACGCCCCCCTGGTGACAAACTGGTGTCTGTGAGATGACTTTTGAAATGACAATTTTAAACATGCCCATCTGGGTTATTATTCTGCCAAATTTCAGACTTCTGTCTTAAATAATAAAAATGCCGTGTCGTCCTAAAACTTCAGGTCAAAATCTCTAAAATACAGGGGTTGCGTTTCTTTTTTGACAGAGTTTATTTACAGACCGTTGCTGAGTGAGACGTTATACACCAAACAAACGTTCAGAATGATGGGCTACCTTTCCGCCATGTGGAATATTTACATACCTTGAACGGCTGCAAGTGCGAATGATTTCAGTATTTGACAACCATTTACACCCTTCGGGTTACTGGAATAATAACACCCGAGAAGATCCGGGTTAGAATTGATCTTCAGTAACCCATGCTTGTTGTAAGAGGCGACTAATGGGATAGGGAGGTCAGGCTCGCTGACTTGGTTGACACATGTCATCGGTTCCCAGTTGCGTAGATTGAAGCTCATGCTGTTTATCACTGGATGTGTCTGGTCCAGACTCGATATGATACAGACTGCTGTCATATAGCTAGAATATTGCTGAGTGCGTCGTAAACAGCAAACCAACCAACCAAACTGGAATATTGAATGGTGCAATATCTTGCGCTTTAGTTACTTTTGTATTCATGATCATATGATGATGATGATGATGATGATGATGGTGATTATCTTACCATTTTTGCTGCTATGGTCATATCCGAACGTCACATTTGCTGCATTGCACAAACTCAGAGTGTCCGACGTGTTGGAATATGTCTGATTTAACCACACGCAGAGGATTGCTGTTCCGGTCGCGGCTAGCACCAGGCCCACAGTGATACCCAAACAGGGTTTCGTCTCACTTAATCGTTCATACTCCATCACAGCAATCCTGCACACACCTGCTAGCCAAGGCATGAAGATCTCAGTGTGCTGTCAGAACAGCTGCTACGAAGCCCGCGACCTGATTGGGTTAATTAATGTGCAGAACGTTCTCTTTCAACGCACCAGTGATGGTTATAGTGAGTGAGTGAGTTAGAATATCTAGGGAGACTGTGCTTCACGTTCTGTTGCACAATGTCAGACTGAAACATTGATTCTACAGGCGGACTAGAGGGCACTTTTTTTTTTCTATGGCTATTCATTCACCTTTTGTCTATGTTAAGTATGAAGTGTCATTAAACAAAGAAAACGATGCTTGAACGATTTAAATCAAACCTGCTTGGACAATGAAGTTGCCTGATCCAAATCTGTATACTGCCTGCATCTAAAGAACCAACTGCACATAGATCTGGTGTACATGTTCTACACAGAAATGTTCATTTCGAACTTCATGTTTCCGAGGCAGAGCCAAGGGTTTGTTGACTCTTATACAACTGCTGTCTCATTTACACTAGATAGATCACCACATTTGCCTACATATTTCTGTTGGCTCGGGGCAGGTCATACTACAAGCATGGGTAGTCTTCGCCTTGATGAACCTAGAGGACGCCTGTTTGCTTTCACCTCCTAATATAACCCTGGATTGGATTGTTTGTTGTTTAACGCAGTATTCGCACTCAACAGTATTCAAACTATATGGCGGTGGTCTGTAAATAATCAAGTCTGGACCAGACAACCCAGTGATCAACAGCATGAGCATCGATCTGCGCAACTGGTATTCGATGACATGTGTCAACCAAGTCAGCGAGCCTGACCACCCGATCCCGTTAGTCGCATCTTACGACAAACATGGGTTGCTGAAGATCAATTCTATCCCGGATCTTCACGGGTCAATGACGCCCTAATCACCCTGAAGTGATTAGTTTTAATCTATCTGTATTTTCTGCGATTCATATCCCAACTGCACTGCTGCGGAATTAAAGTAAGTAAAATGGAACAGTAAAAGTTCCTCTTCTGCAGTGACATCCTTTGTCCTGAAAATATTTGATAAAGAGACAAAATCTCTTCCCTAAGCTACAAAGACCACTCACCCACCTATTCCACCCCCAAGAACACAAATATATCCTTGCATGTCGAGCAATATTCCAAAAGTTCCAGCTGCAGCCTTTGGTGTTTACATGTCACACCTTTAGGGGTACAATCGGACATGCTCTTTTTACCAAGATTTCAATGTCGTCCTCATCGTGCTCAGAAGTTGTCCAATCAAGGTTACAACATTCCAGGCCTCGGAAGGCTTTCAAAAGGTTTTATATTAAACATGTTGGGGACATTTCACAATTTGATGCATCAGTGCCACCGGTGGGGCAGGATACACTCACCATTTCACGAACACTTTGTCTCATCACATTTTGTGTTGCGATTCATAAACACATGCTCTGTCAACGTGTCTGATTTTGTCAATCACTGGATTGTCTGGGCCAGACTCGATTGTTTACATACCACGCCGTACAGCCGTAATACTGATGAATGCAGCCGCACATTAACTCATGATACAGTCAGAATTGTATAATCGACTAAGAGATTTCTTATGGATGTGGAAAGGGTTTTGTCGTTTCTATTTCTGCTGCCAGTGCCTCATCTTCTACAGGTAGAACTGACATTTATAAACTAAAAAAATTAAAGCAAACAAACAAATGAAATCCAATATTCATTTCTCTGCATATGATCAGCTACAAGGCACATGTGGCACTTACAGTTACAGATGGATCTGAGGGTTATCCACTTCATCGTTATGTTCCTATAAATTCTCAGATTTTCACCCACGGTTCAATAGAAAGCTTATAAAGCAAAAAGTCAAGTAACCGTTGGACTTTCTTTTGTTCGGTTGTTTGTGTCAAGCAGTATATAGACATACATCTAACTATGAATCAGATAGGGTGGCTTCACTGGTCTTATATATTTCTCGGTCAGCTATAAAACCCAGAAGGCGAAAATTGGCACTGAAACCGTTAATGGTGTGTGTGTGTGTGTGAGAGAGAGAGAGAGAGAGAGAGAGAGAGAGAGAGAGAGAGAGAGAGAGAGAGAGAGAGAGAGAGAGAGAGAGAGAGAGAGAGAGAGAGAGAGAGAGGGAGGATAGAAAATAGTCCAGTTTCTTTTGTATATTTTGTGCATTTGTGTGTGTGTTAGTCTCTGTGTGTGTTAGTCTGTGTGCCATATATGGCCACCTATAGTATACATTCATATCTATCTGACAGCCTGCCAAATGTATTTTATATGTTTTTACTATGTTTGTTATTACTGACATTGTGGGTTCTTGGCCTCAGAGTCACAACCCTTAGTTCACGACACTCAAGCCAATAGTCTGGACAACACCATGAACAAGACAGACACGCAGTGTAAACCAGCAAACCTTTGGTAGACGACGAGTTCTGAATCAGTTCACCGACATTTCTTTTGGTTAAGCTGAACAGCCATTCACACTGTCTGTAAGGAGTGCGAATAAGGTCACGTGACCAGGCCGAGGGCGGAGTCAACTGCCGGAACCGCCTACGTCAAACGCCGAGACAGTACTGTCCACACTGACGTGCTACGGGCTGTGTGTGTTTCCTGCTTTGGTGAAACCGGCGAGCAAGGTGTAACAGGCCAAAGATTGCCCATCTAAGATTCTAATTCACAGATAACCGACCCTGGTACGGTTAAGGGTTGCATCTATACAACAGAATTCCTTAGATCACTAAGCCACGTGTGCTTCCCAATGAAACATCCTATATGATGACGGGACCAGTGTGTTAATGCCGATTTCCACCGCAGCAGCAACAACCAGCATGTCACGGATGCTTGTCATTGTCTTAAGTCTGGACCAGACAAACCAATGGTTGATATTATGAACAACGCCTAACCTGGTTCGATGCTACAGGTTAAAACACACAGCCTCACTAAAGTGGCCTCGTACAGGTGTAGCTTACTTTGAACAAATTGTTCCCCGAAGTCCAGATATGAGTGAGATACAACGGAAACCGATATTGGTAAAACGACTTTATTTACACGAAGATATTCGTGGCCTACTGGAAATATGCAGTGACGGAAGCAACACGAAGAAATTATTGAACTGGTCCCCGTTGTTTGCGCCTTCATGGATTACAAACAGTGATAAAAACAAACAAAAATGGCATATTAGATGGCGATGTCTTAACTTTAATCTTCTACCGATTTGATCTTTGTTTGGTCAAATCCAATTTTCTCTTGTATTCTTTCTTTTGCCCGACAGTTTTTTTAAACAATCCGAAAAAGCATCAGTATGGTCTTCGTTTCTAAATTATAAAGGCGTGCAAATTCCGACGAACCAGTTTGTCTATGTACAGGTTTCGTTGTTAGCTTCTAAACTGGGTGACCGCCTATAAGAGACAAACAACGGCTACCAGTAAAACAATGGAAATAACGACTGATAGAAATGACAGAGAAATATAACAATACGCAGTGACGCCGATACCTCTCTGGAGCCTCATTTTCCAGATATGTGTTGTTTTACGCCGCATGTTTCCATTTGTCATTGGCAATTCTAAGTACCACTGGTTGGTATAATGAACGATGTGTGGAGATTATTCTGCAGGTTTTTGTCCAAAACAGAAATAGGATCTGCTTCACTGATCAATGTAACGGTGCCAATACGTTACTCGTACATTGCCGGAAATTACCATTTGCGCATACGTTTCAAGGGGAAATTTGCATGAGTGCAGAATCTTACGTGGTTTTCCAGATATGCCTTGCGTGTTGCCGCCCGATTTTGTAGGTAAACAATGAATTCGAGACTTAGGAAACGAGGCTGCCCCCCAAAAATATACCGATGGTAAAAATAAGAGAGCAAGTATACCTATGTTTACAATATATCTGATGAATATCAACAGAATAAGCAGGACCATCATTGGTCATCATCGGCTATCATCGTGAAACTGTGGATGTTGTGTTAAACATCCTTTCTGTTCATATACGTTCTCTTATTTTACGCCATCAGTATATGAGTATCGCGTCAGTTATATCAAGATGGTGAAAGTATATCATTCATCAGATGAAGAGCTAACTACAAGACATGTGCTAGAAGCGTAACCATGACAACGAACACGATGTGAGTGGCGCCACCTATTGGCAGAGGCTGCGATAGGCATGTGTAAACTGGAATATCAGGCTTTAATATAACAATTATTAACAATGCAGACCAACCCTTCGAAGGTCGAGAGTAAGTCAATGCTGAGTTGAATAGGTAAATTGCATATGTGTTATTACATCATATCGTAAACGTACATAGACTAACACGCCCTCCTAAATATAACATCTGGCTGAGTATTAAATATATAAACCAGAAATCGTTGTACATTTTGTTGGAAACATTTGGAAGGATTGGAAGAAATTCGGAGTATGTAGGCATTCACAGGAATACTTGGATCAATAGGAATACTGTTTGATTTGATATAAGGAAGACACATCATATACAAGAATATACATGATTACATTTCAACAGCTTATAATTACGATGGTTATATATTGGCCTATAAAAATAGATTCTTGATTCTCATGACAACCTCCCCAAAGTTCAATCTGTAAATACTCAGCACAATAAGTTTCTTACTTGTTTAGCGCCGTTTTAATCCTTTTTTTCGTTTTTGCGCCAGATTCCAAGTTACATGTTACATTTGTTACCTTATTAGGAAAGAAACTTAACAAATCAACTAAACTTTACCGACAGTTTTGAAAATAATGTCATGAGAAACAGGAATATTTGTTTAAGTAACCTTAAGAGGAAATTAAGATTTATGACTGAATCTGTTCACAACCGCTGTGGAGAAACTCCTGACACGTGTTATAAATAGTGAATGTGCAAACCGAACCTTCTGACCCCGCCTTCTTCATTCATGGCGTCCTAGCCATCAAGGTTACGCCAAGGACCTACAACTGCGACGTTCGCGGAAGTCGTTTAAGAAAATATACGTGAAACAACAACTGTCAGTTAACATCAAGAGACAAAGTAACCTACTGACAGAGAAACATGTTCCTGGAACAATGAACATGCTACCAAAACACAAAATCAACACGTGTTGGAGTGGACAGTCCGACCGTTGAGAGGTTGCACGTGTCGTTCGTTGCCGTAGGTGGTGAGAGTGCCGCCGCTGAAGACCTCAAGTGACTTCAGTATAAGTACCTGTGAGAGGAAAGACACGTGTAGATCGTAAATCAATATGTTTATTTGTTGTGAAACACTGCACTTAGGGATCGTTCATAATATATTGCTAGGGGGGATGATGATGATTTTAAAGGGGGAGGGGGCTTCACCCATTTTGTTCTGGGGAGCTAGGGGGCACAGCAATTTTGGACACACATACTAGGGGGGTTCAGCACATAAAATATGTTTAAAATTATGCTTAGAAATTATGGGAAGGGGAGGGGGGGTCATTGATTTTGTACATGGCATGCACTGGGGGTTGTCACTTATTTCGCAGATAACTTTTAGGGGGTGTCATTCACATTGTACATGCTCCTCCATAAAAATCATCATCACACCCACCCCACCCCACCCCCAGAACGGTCCTTATCTGTATTCTGTTTAAATGCACAATGTCACACCACACTTTTCTAAAAATAATGCATTTCTCCCAAGAACACAAACTATCAGCCCAGGGAAGCTACCATATGATTTATTCCAAAAACAATTACGCATTTAGATTACAGTACCAAATCAAAAGGTTCGAATGAATTAATGCAACATCGATGTACGGAGCAATTCTTAACATTCCACATATGGCAAGTGTTCTCTGTTTGGAAGTTGTTCTCCTCGAAGTTTCAATTATCGATTTCAGGCAAGTCGTAAGGGATAATAGGTATTTTATTGCATTAATAGGATATATGCCCCAATATATACAATATAGGCCACATCACAGCCACTTCCAAGGTCAAAGCGCAGTTTGCCATGAGTTGGAATCCAAAATTTGCCCGAATTATGATTCTTGGTGTGTCAGCAAATAGGTAAACGTCTAAGGCCTGCTTCGGGGTTCCCTCCCACATTTGGCTGACAGGCCGTGATAATTTGTGCCGTCGACAAAGCATCGACATAAAACTCACTCACGCACTCACTCACTCACACTGACAGGAGTAAACCTTTGCATCAGTCCGCTATATTACCCGCTGCATCGGTGTCATTAACACACTCATCGACCAAACAAATCAATAGCTGATAGCATGAGAAAGGGTAAGATCGGTCGTGTGAATAGTCTAGTGGATAAAGCGTTTGCTCGTCACGCCGTCGGGACGGGTTCGATTCGTGATGACCATTTCTGGATCCACAAACACGGGGCAAAAACATATTCAGGGAAGATGACAGATAGTCTAACAACCAATACCATGTTGTTCGGCTCAAAACAAGGCGTACTAGGGACCTAGTGGATCAATGACTTACGTTTGCCTCCGTGGTATGTATAGCATTCTTCATGACGACCCATCTGACAGACTCCGAGCAGGGCGGGTTGGTGAGCGATCCCTTGTACGTATAGAACCCCCCTGCCTGCAGGAGGAGCTCACGGGGGTCAATGGTCACGTTGACTTTACCTGCGATCCGAAGTGAAGAAATTCTGTCATCAGTGCAGGAATACAACCAACAATGTCGACATACAACCAGCAGTGTAGAAATACAATCAACAAGGTAATTGAACATACAATCTTCAGTACAACGTCTCTTTTTGTCAAGGTCATGAATAATTTATTTACATCGGTGTTAGTTACCTACAGTCATACATCCTAAGAATCAACTCCAGCGTTCGAAATTAACGTCGGTCCTGACTGAAAACCACTCAGACCCACAGCTTTTGTTTTCTGCAGGTCCTTATGGCCGACAGCTTTTTCATCCCAATAACTAAGAGTATTATTTCCATATTAAAATATAGGGCCTACACATTCTGATCAGGACCCACAAGTTGTTATGGTTCTGGGTCCTTGGCTAAAGGATCCGCAGCTTTTCAGGGTTAAGGGCGAAGACTAATCAACTCTGGCCTTTATCGTATACATTGGTAAGGGAAAACGACACATCTTATCATGGTGGTACTATTCTCTACGTTGGTTTAGATGAGAATCCCCAGAATGAGATTTAGTGGCATTGACGATTAGTCAAGAGAGGATGGATTATTCGTCAGTTGAGCAGAGCGCCCGACCTGTTGCTACTTTTTATCATAAAGTTGTAGCAACAGCGAAGAAACCTTATCAACAATGTTGAAATACTATCTACAATGTAGAACAAATATTTACAGTGTAGAAATACTACCAACGTAGCAATACTATCAACAATGTAGAAAAGCGAAACAATTCTGTCAACAATCAAAAAGTAGTTTTAGCAGTGTAGAGAATAGAGAAACATTATTTTTAATGTTGAAATACTATCTACAATGTAGAAATACTACCAACGTAGCAATACCATCAACAATGTAGAAGTGCATTTAGCAGTGTAGAAATACTATTAACAACGTAGCAATACTATCAACAATGTAAAAATGCTTTCAAAAGCGTAACAATTCTGTCAACAATGAAAAAGTAGTTTTAGCAGTGTAGAGAATAGAGATGCTGTTAACAATGCAGAAACACTATCAACAGGGAAGAAATAGACATGTAGAGATACAATGAACAGTTTGCAGATCTGCAGATTGGGGCGGTTGTACATGTGTCAGATTAGGCGTGTTGTACATGTGTCAGATTAAGCGTGTTGTACATGTGTCAGATTGGGGTGTTGTACATGTGTCAGATTGGGCGTGGTGTGCATGTGTCAGATTGGAGGTGTTGTACATGTGTCAGATTGGGCGTGGTGTGCATGTGTCAGATTGGGGTGTTGTACATCTGTCAGATTGGGCGTGTTGTACATCTCTCAGATTGGGCGTGTTGTACATCTGTCAGATTGGGCACGTGTACATCTCTCAGATTGGGCGTGTTGTACATCTGTCAGATTGGGCGTGTTTACATCTGTCAGATTGGGCGTGTTGCACATCTGTCAGATAGGGCATGTTGTACATCTGTCAGATTGGGCGTGTTGTACATCTGTCAGATTGGGCGTGTTATACATCTGTCAGATTGGGCGTGTTGCACATCTGTCAGATAGGGTATGTTGTACATCTCTCAGATTGGGCGTGTTGTACATCTGTCAGATTGGGCGTGTTATACATCTGTCAGATTGGGCGTGTTGCACATCTGTCAGATAGGGTATGTTGTACATCTCTCAGATTGGGCGTGTTGTACATCTGTCAGATTGGGCGTGTTGTACATCTGTCAGATTGGGCGTGTTATACATCTGTCAGATTGGGCGTGTTGTACATCTGTCAGATTGGGGATGTTGTACATCTATCAGATTGAGGGTGTTGTACATGTGTCAGATTGGGCGTGTTGTACATATGTCAGATAGGGCCTGTTGTACATGTTATATACAAAGGAGCAAAAGAAACGTCACTTTGGAATTTTCCTTCGCAGAAACAGATAACTGTAAACTCATGTAATGTATATTCTTGACAACATCTCCAACAATACCCGAGCAAAGACATTCTTTCCCAAACTCAGAATGGAACCCAGGAAATGGTATCAAAAACGCAACCTGATCTCGGAGATGGTTCGGTGTTCTCCATGTTTTTCATGCAACTCATGCTGCACGTGCTGTTCACAAGGACCAGCCCTATAAAATGCACCCCCAAACCTGGTTGAAACAATCACATTACAACGTCAGCAGGATGGCGCGACTCACGACAGCTCAGAGGAACCAGGCGCTAGGAAGACTGGAAGCTGGCCACACTGCACAAGCCGTTGCCAATCACTTCCAGGTCAATGTTCGGACCATTTACAGGCTGCAGCAACGTTTCCGGGCCACCAACACCACAAATGATCACCCCCGTACTGGCAGACCAAGGGTGACCACAAGACGACAAGACCGCCATGTTTTTGTGCGACAGTATGTACAGAATCCCTTCATGCAGGCATCAGAAACAACACGTCAGACAGTGGGAACACACGGAAGACCAATCAGTACTGATACAGTACGCCGACGTCTTAACAGCGGGAACCTCCATTGCCATAGACCTTACCGTGGACCTATCCTCACCCCTCGTCATCGGCGTGAACGTCTACAGTTTGCTCTACAACCCCAAAACCTGCGATACAGGCAATGGAGAACTGTTCTGTTCAGATAAGAGTCGGTACTGAGTATCAACTGCAGATGGCAGAACAAGAATATGGCTACGGCGTGGCCAGCGTTACTCAGACCAATGTGTTTTGGAAAGAGGCTCACGGGGAGGTGCAAGCATCATGGTATGGGATGGAATAGGCCTGAACCAGAGAGTGGGTCCTGTGGTGTTTGAGAACCTTGGTCCAGGGTCAGGAGGCGGCATCACAGCGGTGCGCTACATCGACCAAGCTCTCAGACCCCACGTCATACCACATTTCGCACGTCACCGGAACAACATTTTCCAGCATGATAACGCCCGGGCCCATACTGCCAGAGCTACACGACTTCCTACAGCAGAACGGTGTCAACATTATGCAGTGGCCAGTCCTTAGTCCTGATTTTAACCCAAATGAACATCTTTGGAATGAAATTCAGAGAAGACTGAATAATGTGATACCAAGGTCGAACACAGCCGATTTATTGCGCCAGGCCTTTCTCAGAGTGTGCTTCAAGGTGCCGAATGGCCTTCATCAATCGATTGGTGCACTCCATGCATAGACGCTGTGCTGCAGTTATTGCCGCTCGTGGTGGTCACATTAGATACTGAAGTCAAGGGTCTGAATGGACTGCAAACGTTCACGCAATGTCTTGAAATTGTGCTGAGTTATTCATTGATGTGTTAAGATATTGTACACAGAAAATGTTTTCATCCGCTTATTATGTCCATTTCTGTAATGATTTGATTACAGTGCCTATCTAATTATGAATTCATACTGACGTTTTCTTTGCTGCTGAGTATAGTTTGGGCGTCACATTCTGCTACTTACTCTGAGGGCTGCCGAGGTTTGATATCCCGTCAATGAGAGTGTTGAGGGCAGCATTATTGGATACGTTGTCCTGCTGTTGGGGGAACAGAGGGACATTAGACTGTTTCCTGCAATTGATCTAATAGCTTGGTCGACCATGAAAAGGTCTGCCTTGTATCCCCAAGTCAGTTATTTCTACACATGTATATGATGAATACCAGAGCCATTCACTAACATACCCTCGTTTTCAAACCGGGTTATCCGTTGTACTGTATCTCCATTCTATAAATGATGAATACTATGGAGACATCCGATTACTTAGCTCCGATTGTAATGGGCACTGAATGAATACTCTTCTCGCAAACACCTGACATCATCACGTTTTCGGGGCGATTCATGAACACATGATTATGATAGAGTCGGAATAGTGCAATCAACTCTGCATGCAGTAGAGGTTTCCTGTCATTGTGTGAATATTTGTCTTTTCTTTATCACTTTCAACTACCTAAATATAGCCAAACACTGGCCTAGAGTTGTCTGAGGTTCGACACAGTGATGATTGATAAGTGAGTGAGTGAGTATGGTTTTAAGCCGCTTTTAACAATATTCCAACAATATCACAGCAGGGGACACAAGAAATGGGCTTCACACATTGTACCTATTTGGGGAATCGAACCCTTTTAGAGTGACGAGCAAACGCTTTAACCATTAGGCTACCCCACCGCCCCTGATGATTAATAAGGATTGCACTGGGACCAAACGTTTACTTCGAGACAAACCCTAAATTCCACACATCAGAATTCCACACAGCAGCGTTTGACAGTACAATAATGTTGTGACAATTACATTAAAGAGTGGGACCCCCCGAGAAACTGGGACAGCAGTACACAACAGAACCTACCTCGAGGATGATCCCAATCACAGCCAGCCCATCATGCATGTGTATGGCTTCTGTGATGTTGCCATACTTCTTGTTGTAGTGGACCAGATGCAACTACAACAACGACGATGTTACATGTACATCAAGAAGAATCAAACACATTTCACCGTATATATCGGTGTAGTCTATAATGTAACATATGTTCCAGCTGCGGTGGCTGAGTGGGTTGGATCGCTGACTGTGCGTTCTGGCGATTAGGTGCCTGACTCTGACTGTAGGGTTCGAATCCCGCCAGGGACTCAACCTGATCCAAGTACCAGTATCTGTATTTTACTGAGAAGGTGTAATCGCAAATATAACACGTGTTACATTGTAACTTTCTAAATGACATTGCATATTTATAAGAGAATGTTTGATGGGTACTAGTAAGGGAGGGAGTGAGTTTGAATCTGTGAATGGTATCAGCTGTGGTGAGCCATGTCACGGTATGTCAGCTTCATCTAGAAGGGAAACCGGAGTCCTAGACGTTCATCACTTTGATGAAACTCCTGGCTGTGGTGCCAACACATCTCGAAACATAATCCGGGCAAATCTGGGATTCGCATACACACATCATGGGTGTCTCGGCCGCGTAAGCGAGTTATCTCTACATAGCGAATAACAGACCTTGAATCCTTATAACTGAACATATAGAATAAGGTGGGGCACACTGTTTCTGCACACCACATCCTAACATATGCCTGTTCATTAAGAGGTATAACCATCTCAACTAAGTACAACCATTTATAATAACAACAATTGAATGAATGCCAAAATAGCTATAGGCTTGATATATGTGACTACACACATTCATCACCCGTAAAGTTCCTGGCCCTAGATTTTCAAAGCTCTCCTAGTGTTAGGATGGCCGTAAGTGCCATACTTAAACATTAACTTACGACTATCTTAGCTCTAAGAGAGCTTCGAAAATCTTGGCCCAGGTTAAAAGCTCATGCTTGTCTGGGTTGGCAGGTCAGACTTGGTTGATGCATATCACGAAATCCTAAATACGCAGAATATATGTTCATTTATGCTAGTAGTTATCAATCATTGGATAGCCTGTTCCAGATTAGACTTTTTTAAAGAAAAAAACATTCCTAAATTATCCTAAAATATTATAAAAAGGAGACCAGGGACTTTCTTCATTTTCCTGAAACTGTTGTCATCTAGACTTGCCACATGGCTGCATTGGGTATATTTGTTTCAGGGTCTTACACTTACAGTCGTGGAAACAACAAACCAATGAATGTTTTGGCAAGGAATAATCTACCAACCAACCAACCAACCAACCAACCAAGCAATCAAGCAAGCATGCAGGCAACCAAGCAAGCAAGCAAGCAAACAAGCCAGCAACAAACCAACCAACCAACCAGCCAACCAACCAACCAACCAACCAACCAACCCATCCATCCAGTAACCTCCAAGTCTGAAATACACGTAGGTAAGTATACAGAATTTGGGCCTACCTCTGCCGGCCTGAAGGTTCCGTTGATATGATGCTCCGATGGTTCATGGAAGTGCATAGATACCAGGGCGAAGTCGTCGCCGTTGGTGAAGGGGAAGTCGTCAGTGACCAAATCCTCACTGGAGAAGGACAGAGTTGCTCCCTGACCTGCAATGCACAACGACATTATTCATATTAGCTCGAAATGTCTTAGATCTGAAAAGGTCTCTTTTTAAACTGGGGCAAGGGACTGCTATTGACGAAGTATTTAACATGCTATTCGTCTTTTTCTATTACAAAATTGCATGATCGTCAAATGTGCCTGACAAATGTACCTCTACAACTGTTGGTCCAAACTTAACACATCCTCGAGTATCCACGGAATTAGGTATTCATTCTGCTCAGATTTATTTCCATGCCTCTGTCTTTATTCGCACAGTATTTACTGGGTTTTATGAGTGTATTTATAGTCCGTTTGGCTCAAAAGCGGACCGATGAATTGCAATCGAAAACAAATAAACATAAAATACTCAATGAAACGCTGATCATAATCAAAACATCATACCCACTCTGTGAGGTTTTTGCAGAATTTTTGTCCTAAAAATAATAACGTTGTTTAACAAACTATCATTAAAATATTGACACAGTTCACTGTTTGTTACGAGGGAGGAGTGCAGAGAAAGGGACAGCCAGGGGTTCGCGAAGCACGTTCACAGACAAAGTTATTTATTCATTCACCTGTGCTGTGCCGTCTCCATCCGTTCTCGAACACCTGGCTGTCCCTTTCTCTGCACTCCTCCCTCGTAACAAATAGTGAACTGTGTCAATATTTTAATGATAGATTGTTAAACAACTTTTTTATTTTTAGGACAAAAATTCTGCAAAAGCCTCACAGAGTGGGTATGATGTTTTGATTATGATCAGCGTTTCATTGAGTATGTTATGTTTATTAGTTTTCGAGTCAGATTGCAATTCATCGGTCCGCTTTTGAGCCAAACGGACTGTAAATTGCGCGGAAGTTTAAAGCACCGCACCATTACAACAGGCTCAAAATGAACCAACGGTTTCACTGTATCTATTGTAATCGTGAGTGGATATGGTTTTATGTGCAATATTACGAGAGATACCAGGAATGGGCGCCATACATTGTACATATCAGCGGGGGGAGTGAGTATAGCTTTACGCCGCTTTTAGCAATATTACAGCATTGTCATGGCGGGGGACACATTGTACTCATGTGGGGATTCGAACCAGGGTCTTTAGCGTGACGAACATACCCTTTGACCTTTAGGCTACCCCACCGCCCTTCACATCTGTGAAACGAATCCCATGATGAGCGAACTTTTCAACTTTTACAAAAGATACGAAAGAGTGCAATCAATCGTTGTTACAATGTTTGTACCGTACAAGGAACCATCTTAGGCATAGATAATGAGTGCCCCCGCACTTGGAGCTCTCTTGTCTCCGAGACGTGCTACGTCACCGGCAGTAGAAAAGGAGGAACAAAAACGTCGGAAAATCTTTAGCTAACCACAGAGCTTTTGACCTTTCCTACTGGAGTTTCCATTCGAATAGATAAATCGTGACTTGGGACCTCACTAAACAATGAATCCTTTCAAAAATGAGGACTGCGAGCTAGAATGAATAGTCGTTTTGTAAGCAGGATCGGGTGGTGAGGCGTGGTGACTTATTTGATTGCACGTCAACCTACTGTGGCAGCTCGGGACCTGGTCTCTTTAAACTCTTTCACCCTCATGTAATGCATACAAGATCCTGTATAATGCGAGAGTCATTTGAATCTATCTCGGTTTAAGTAGGCGAGAAATTGTTCAGCTGGATTGTAATGGAGATAAATAAGTTAATTTGATAACATTTGTTAGCACCTGACAAATATCAAGCAGGAAGTGGTGTCAGCTGTAATCTTCGGACGAATTTACACATTATACAAACCTTACGACATCGCCAAGGTCTCTTCGTGAACATTGCCACCCATATGGGTGAGTGAGTTTAGTTTTACGCCCCACTCAGCAATGTACCACCTATATGGCGGCGGTTTGTAAATAATCGAGTCTGGACCTGAGAATCCAGTGATCAACATCATGAGCATCGATCTACGCAAATGGATACGATTTCATGTGTCAACCCAGTCAGCGAGCATGATCACCCGATCCCGTTAGTCGCCTCTTACGACAAACATGCCTGGGTTATTGGAGACCAATTCTAACTCAATATTGAACAAACTTTATGGATAACAATTTCATTATTTCATGAGTCCGACGTTTAGATACAGATTATTGTACCGTTGCTAAGCAGGAATGATGCATGAAAGGAGGAGACATAATAGGCCAGGCAGTGAGCTGATTAAACCAGTGGGTAGACAAAGGGACGGGCGTGAAGAGGAGGAGACATAATAGGCCAGGCAGTGAGCTGATTAAACCAGTGGGTAGACAAAGGAAAGGGCGTGAAGCCAGAGGTGTACAAATCAAGGAATAGTTGAAACAGAAGGAGATGTTTATACAATAGATTGGAGGAGTGCATCATAAGCGGATTGGTTGAAGTATCCTTGGTCTCGGTTGATGGCGGGCCAAAAGCTTCATCAGCTTACTGCCTAGCCTATTATGTTCATCATGTTGTTTACTTCGTTATATTCAGTATATATACATCTCCTCCTCTGCATGCATCAGTCTGCTTGACAACCGTACAAAGATCTGTATTCGCACTCGTCGCAATCACGAAATAAAGAAGTTGTTATCAATAAAGTTTGTTCAATACAGTACGTCCCAACTTCTAAAAATGCCACTGAAACAAGTTAAACAATTCTAACCCGGATCTTCAAGGGTCACCACCCATATGAAACGTTACAGTTTTGTTATTTATTTGTACAACATGGCTGGGCCATAGTGTCGGGGAGTGTGTCCTACTACAGTGGAGACAATGGTTGATTAAGTCGCATTCCGCTGATGTGAGAACCTAAAGATGTGAAGAGCTCTGAGCATGAGATATTATTTTGAATAATACATTCAATACCCAAGTGAACAGTATTAATCCCATCTGATCCACATTTCGTGTCTTGTTACTAGTTCAACAGTAACCAGCATACAGTCAGTTGTATACTCAAGGAAAGATTAAAGGGAAAGTGGAAATATAACAAAAGGAAGACTACAGTAGTGGTTGGTTCTGGATGTTCCAACATACTAGGGTAGCCTAGTGGTTAAAGCGTTCTCTCATCACACCCGGGTTCGATTCCCACCATGGGTACAATGTGTGAAGACCATTTCTGGTGTCCCCCGCCGTGATATTGCTGGAATATTGTTAAAACTCAACTCACTCATTCCAAGAAATGATACAAAGAAGATTCTTAATACAAGTAGACTCAACACATTGACAACAGAGGCAACATTGATAACGCCTCACATGTGTTCCTTCCAGTTTGTTCCCTTACTTTTCATTTTCAGTATATATGCACCTAAACCGTGTTGAGGTATAGTGGGGTTTAAACTTGCCTTCGGGATTATTGGACCTGTACTGCGCCTGTTTATATACTTGCAGTAGTCCGGCTTCATAGTGCTAACCCGCTGATGTACCATGACATAGTTTAACATGCACACACCTACTCCGATACAAAATACTGACTCCGAGCAGACAAGTCCTTGTTTTCAACATAGGCAGGAAAATAATAAGGACCATTTTATAAAGGACAAACGAGAGGATCATGGGTCGAACCACTGACGCTCTATTCAATAGAGTGAGTGAGTGTGGTTTTACGCCGCTTTTAGCAATATTCCAGCGATGTCACGGCGGGGGACTCCAGAAGTGGGCTTCACACATTGTACCTGTGTAGGGAATCGAACCCAGGTCTTCAGCGTGACGAGCAGAAGCTTTAACCACTAGGCTATTCCACCAATACCTATTCAATAGATCACAGACAATTATGATACCTCACCGCGTTAAGACCAGGTTTTAATAATTTGACCTGATACGTCGACGGTGCTTATAATATCAATAGTATTTTTTTCGAAGCGCCTCGGTTATTTACAGCAGCGTTCGAAATACCTGCTTGCCCGACAGCCCGGGACGGGTTATTTTCAACACGGACTGCCAGATTTTCACATTCACCTGCCCGACGGTCGAGTTAATATTTAGAGATGTATATGAAGATATTAATCATATTTCAGGATAATATCATTATTAGTTCACTCGTAAAAATAAATGATGAATTCTAATTGGATGATAAACTACGTCGCTTGTCAAACCTAAATTATTTGCGGGCAGGTACGTTTTGGTCAGGGCTGGCAAGTTTTACATCTAATCAGCCCTGTGGTCTGGCTGAAATTTTGGGGAGATTTATACTCTGAACCACTGCTATAATATTACTTGATTATTATTTGGTGTTAAAAAAACAAACAGTTCTGTGGTTTGGTTCATCGTGAATCAAGACGCTGACTGGTTTAGAAATAACTAACACAGAAGATAAATCAACACCACCAAAGCCTATCACTGTGGCTTGGTTCCACAACGTCTTAAGACTTCTTCTTACCATTGTTCTTGAGACTGCCTGGCAGAGCGCCTTGTCTGTCAGTGTTGTAGCTGATGTTGGAGAGTTTTGTACACGTCAGATCTTTCCGCAGTAGATCGATAGGCGACTGATGGGTTCCTCCGCAGCAGCGTGTGTTCTCCGAGATGTGCATCCAGTGGGGAGGACCTTCAAATAGCGCCATCATTACCTCCCAATATATCTTAATTAGTCATTGATTTCTTGACACAACGGTCAACATGATCCGTAGACATGTCAGTGATATTATAGAAGCGTACGTACAATATCGAAACATTTTTTACCTGAGCTCATAGTGTATGTATTTATATCAGATTGTAAATGGCTTCTGCATGAATTGGCAAAGCGCAAGGAAGGTGGGTCAGTCTCAAGTGGAAGAGGTGAATTGGAAACCTGGCGGAATTATCTCGGTCGATATTCAACATGGCCGTAGATTCAGCCAAGAAAAGTAAGCAAGTGTGATTGCTGACCTTAATGAAACAAGTACGTCAGTCGAACATAATTTCAAAATTAAATTTTCTAACCAAGACTTCAAAAACCCAATTATAACCACGTAGCTTACCGTCAACGTCGTCGTGATTATAGCTGAACGGATCCTTTGACATTGCACAGAGGAACGGATGATCGTCATCCTTGTCATCTGGTGAAGACGGCAGCACAGCGACGCAAATAATGGCGACGACGACGCCTACGATGACAAGAGCACCCAGCACAAACAACCCCTTCTTCACTCGCCCAGACATCCGTGATTTCTTGGTCGTTGTACGAGCTGGATCATCTGGCATTTGATAATAATCGTTCATGATCTGCTGGCCGGGGAAGAGTCATCCTCGCGCGTGGGTTGCATATGGTCCCCAGCCTTCCAGCGCTCACTGACATTTATTATAGTAAATGTGGTTGTTATTGACCGAAGCGTTGGAGGCAAGTCGGGCCATCTCATCATGTGAATGGGCAAATCTTATTACCTTTCTGCGAGACCATACATTACCCTACGATTTTACATGTTTAAAAAATAGTCCCATTTATATAAAGGTTACGTTTTTTGTAACACGACTGCATTGCTATAGAATGGAGGACAAAGAGGGTCTGGTCGCGAATGACATCGCAAGGGACGGGATGAGGCGGGGATTGGAGGGCTTTTTCTGTTTTGTACCGAAATATCATGAAATATTTTTACTTTGAATGAATTGGGAAAATATGTCAAAAAGCAATACTTGATTTGTTTGTCCTCCATACATAAATGGACTCACCCACTACTAATTTCGTACCTGTAACATATACGCGCGTTTCTATATCAAGACGAAATGTATTTATACACATTTTCAGGTTAAATTTCACATGAGAAAATATGAACCATTATTATCATGTCAATGATGTGTAACATTTCCAAACGACGACTAGGACATTTCCTTCAATTAATAAACATGGACGAAATGGAAACATTTTATGTTTAAACGATGCATGCTGTATTTGAATGCTTGGTGTTTTGAGTAATTGCCTGCAGTGTGAAATACGGAGAAACTAACAACCAAACTGGGAAGGCAATTCAGGCAAAACTGAGGGTCAGTATCTCTCGTTTTGCTGGTTAGATGGGATTATGTCAACAGTTGAGATGTTTACACCTGTATCCACAGTTAAGGCTATGGTCATTATCTAGCATTGCGTATGTACATTCAAGACTACATTCAAGTAATGTCAGAAACTGGTTACCTTGTCTTCGTCATATCGAACTTCACACGTAAACACATTTAGCACGAATGCCTGTCAAATTAATATATACAGCTATGTGGAGATAAATGTCACCAAAGTTCACAATAACAACGTCGTCGACAGTTAATCGGACAATTAGATTATATGTGTTAACCAGAATGGGTATAAATAGACAGTCAGATATCACTCTCCGGCTAATACACTCAGGTCTTGTGTTACTGTGTTGGTTGGTCGTACAGTGATACACGTGTTTCACTTTAACGAGTTCATCCCCGATTAATATATATGCTAATACTATGCGGAGTACGGGTTCGAGTCCCATGTCTCACGTTTTGACATCACGTTAATGTAACGTCTATATACCTATGCTGGAACTGGGAAGACGAGGAGCCTGATGTACTCAGGTGACTGAAAAGTTCTGAGCCACTAAGCGCCAAAAGAAACGTTACCCTCCTACCTTTATGAATTACTTCAAAACTATCAAAGATATGTTAGAAGGTATTAGTTTAGAAGAAAGCTTAACAACACAGCTTTATGAAAATCACGAAAAACAATTCTCAAATGCATTCATTTTTAGGTGAAATGCATCTTTTTCAGAAGAGTTAAATTGTCCTATTTTCGTCCATGCCGAAATAAACCAATAACAGTGATTTAGATGTCCAAAGAAAGGTTGAAATAAAATTCTGCTTTGAGACAAAGATAAACCATTTAAAGTCACCATTTTTCAACTATTAAAACAAGAAACAACTGTTGTAGAGTGTGTAAAATTGTAAAATAATCACTCCTATGATTTCAGTCTTTTAAAACATTTTCTACTAATTTGCATTAGTGAAAACAAGTAAAACGTGTCTTTGATATTGTGAAAAAATGTTTAGGAACATCTAAAATTATCTTTGTTAACATTTTTGCTTGCAAAGTAACATTTTTCCATTTTCTGTTTACACATAGCAATATCAATCGCCAAAACGCAGCAATATTCAAGCAGTATTTGCATCCATTTCACATGTAGAATGATTCTATAGGGTATAAAGAGAGACTAGAATGCATGATATGATACACAAGTACGAGAAATATGCCACGATTAACAGCTGAAGAGAGAAAAAGAGCCATTGGGATGGTGCAGATGGGGTCGACATACAATGCTGTTGCCAACGCCCTCGGATGCCACCGTATCACGGTTATAAGACTTATTCAGGGCTTCAGACAGACTGGGGTCACCGTAGACAGACCAAGAAATGGACGTCCACGCATCACAACGCCAGCTGTAGATAGGTACCTCCGTCATTAAGGAAGGAGGGTAACGTTTCTTTTGGCGTTTACCCAGAATGATTATTGCAACGACGTGTGCCTTCGGATGAAACCTGGATTCATCGCATCCAGTCCAAACAACAAATAAGATAATGGAAGCATTTAATTCTAACCCTGATTGCTTTATAGCGCCAGGACGTTTGGATTCTAGGGACAGTAATTATGTAACCTAAATTAATATCTCCCATTACAAATGTCTCAAATTTGTTTGCTGAAGACCATTTTAAGTTTATTTTATTTATTGCACAACGTTCTTGAGTTTTGGTTGTGATTGGTGCTTTTGGCTAAAATGCACAGGTAATTTATTGAAGGGTCGCCCATGGAGAGTACAATATATGCTATCTGAAAAATTAGAGGTAATGAAAAGGAACAGCTGACAAGTGTAAACTAGTATACTTGCAGTTGGTGCAATTCCGGACTATTCTTCGGAACCTCGAAACCCAACGCGACAGCACAACACGTGCCAAGTGCAGCCACTAGTCATGACTCGAACTTCAAATTCTGCCGAATACCCGAACATTGTAATCCCTGATTAGTCGAACACATAAACGTGAATGATTTCTTTTCATATTCTGTCTTGTAAAACACCATGCCATCTCGCAGACCCTTCAATAGTTGTGATAAGAATACAATTAATAAATGTACCTTTGCCACTGTCAAATCTCTTCTCTGCAGGCATGTTGACAACTTCTGTTCACAGCAGTTGACTGTAGGACAGCTTACCCGTTCAATCTCGCTAGTATGTTCACAGAAGAAAGAGTCCTTATATCGCTGGGACAAGGCTATTCATTGGATGACAGTGAACCTGTTGACGTAGGTGGTATATGTTAGTGGCTAGTGTCAATGACGGTGCAAGCCTCTGCACGATGCCCAACCTCACCCACCCTCTTTAGGCATCTGCATACCATTTAATCTGTCTCGATATGCAATTTAGTAACTTAGTCATATCAGCGTACACAGCTGGGACAGGCATATTTCACATTGAAGTCGTCACTCATAAGCGTAAGAATGGGAATAAGAACAGACATATGTTTGTTGGCTTAGACCTTAATATTTTACTAATTTGTTACACTTTGTAAAGAGAAAAAGATGAATATTAATATTTAACTAATTTGTACCACTTTGTGAAGGGAAAAAGATGAATATTAATATTTTACTAATTTGTACCACTTTGTTAAGGGAAAAAGATGAATATTAATATTTTACAAATTTGTCACGCTTTGCAAAGGGAAAAAGACGAATATTCATATTTTACAAACTTGTTACGCTTTGCAGAGGGAAAAGGACGATTATTAATATTTTGCAAATTTGACACATTTGCGAAGTGAAAAAGACCAATATAATATTTTACTAAATATTTTTAATTTGGCATCCATGTATAACATATGATATTGACGATCCTAAATTGCTGTACGTACGTATTTATGTAAATATTTCATGGCATCCTCCATACTACAACATGGGATCGTGAATATTTTTGGGTTCGGGTCCTGACCATTCTCTTCCCGCAGAGGTTACTAAAGTCATATCTTCCCACGACTTGAGTAACCTCTGAGAGAAGAGAATGGGTCCAGACGGGTGCAGGCGCCCTTGGTATTACTTCCTCCTGCAGGTTAACCGTGGATGAATAGGGTTCACTGTCAGCTGACCCGTGAAGGTCCGGGTTAGAATGAGCATTCAGTAACCCTTGTTTGTCGTAAGAGGCGACTAACGGGATCGGGTGGTCAGGCTCGCTGACTTGGTTGACTCATGTAATCGGTTCCCAATTGCGCAGATGGGTGCTCATGCTGTTGATCACTGGATTGTCTGGTCCAGACTCGATTATTTACAGACCGCCGCCATATAGCTGGAATATTGCTGAGTGCGGCGTAAAACTAAACTCATTCACTCACTCACTGTCAGCTGTATATAGGTGGGTCTATATACTGGTAAGCGGGCAGCAGTAGAGGTTCACAAAGGTGGTTTTGTGAATTTTACGTGGACCTATCTACCGGTATCAGTCAGCGTGGAGAAGTCCTTTGAGGTTACCCAGTGTGTTGTTAATAAATCACCGTTTGGATATTCAACGGTTATTCAAAGATCTAGATAAAGGTTACTGATCTTTGTTATGGATCAGAAATTACTTCATTTTAACAGCACCTGGTAGGTGTATATTCATGTACAGGTCTACATTTGGTCCTCATATTTCATGTAAATGACAGCCGTTGGTGTTTTGTGGATAGACTGTCCGCCCAGGGAACGGAAGATGGGTGGTTCGATTCCAAAGTCATACCAAAGGGCGCTGAAAGATGGTACTTGTTGTTAGCTTGCCTGGTGCTAGGCATTCACGGGATACATCAAGGACTGGTGGACATATATTATATACTGAATGTATTGTGCATTGGGTACCCACGTTAAAACCACGACGTAGTATCTCCAGTATGGTACAGGCACACACGCCCGCACAAACCCTCCATAATCTAAAAGCGATGTTCAACCTTACATCTCCTTACCGCCATCTACAGCAAAACGGAAATAGTAACTTCATGAATCTCATCTCTTCCGAGTACAATTGGCTAACATGTACTGCTGAATTGTAGTGTTTAAAGAATAGATTTAATTTGCTTACACTTTCTTAGCTTTGATGAGCTTGGAGTCTACCTTTCTGTATAACGAAAAGCAAGATTTATGGATGTCATCTTCTTTATTGTGAATAACACCACGTTTCATCAGGTCTGATGAAGGAGCAAGCATACACTCTGAAAGGTCGTGTTATTCACAATAAAGAAGCTGACATCCATAAATCTTGCTTTTCTAATGCATTCCACTTCTAATGCCCTTCAAAGATTTCTTTATAACGAT